CTACTGAAAAAACCAGTCACATTTAATCAAAATAACGATGTAACTATCCTCTGGGACATGTCAATTCATACTGACAGGGAAATGAAAACCAACAGCCCTGATATTGTCATAAAAGACAAGAAATCCAGGAAGTGACATAGCAGTACCATCTGAGAGAAATAACTCCATTAAAGTATCAAGAAATTGTCCAAATACCTGCCGATTGAGATAAACAGGATGTGGGGAATGAAGACTGAGACTGTACCAATAGTAATCAGAGTCTGGACCTCGTGAGAAAAGGAATGGATAATTTTACTAACAGTGTCTCAAGCAACGTCAACATACAAGTAGCCTATAAGATCGCCCTATTAGGAACATACCGTATTCTAAGGAAAGTGCTATAAATTAAATGACAATTCTCTTACTGGGCCTAAGGACCATAGTTTTTCAGCCCGGGTCTACAGGATACAAAACGGAAACCTAACATACAAAAATAATAATAAAATAACAACAACAATAATAATAATAATAATAATAATGATGATGATGATGATGATGATAATAACAACAGTGAAACATGAGCCGTAAATTCTAAGGAAATTGCTATAAATTAAATAACAATTCTCTTACTAAGGGCATAAAGGACCATAGTTTTTCAGCCCAGCCTAAGGACCATTGGGACCCGTCTCTACAGGATACAAAACAGGAAACCTAACATACACAAATAACAACAAAAATAACAATAATAATAATAATAATAATAATAATAATGATGATGATGATGATGATGATGATGATGATAATAACAACAGTGAAACAGATGAGCCGAAAAATTATAGACCAATAACATGTCCCTCCACCACGTATAAATTGATCACGTCTGTCTCTTGTTCGGGCCCGGAAGGAACTGCGTATGCAACAGTAACAAAGGAATAATAATAATAATAATAATAATAATAATAATAATAATATAATAGTTGCCCAGAAGATCACCTTACTAGGAACATCACATATACTAAGATAAGTGCTATCAGTTAAATAACAATTCTCCTATAGTGTCTAAGGACCATTGTTTGGACCCGGCTCTACAGGATACAAAGCAGGAAACATAACATACACAAATAATAATAATAATAATAATAACAACAACAATCTGCAATCAGTAATAAAAGGTGCAAACAAATTCAAAAGGGAATTACAAGTGATTGAAGAAGTGCAAATAAACCATACCACACTTCCTACAGCAACAAAGAACCTAACAAAGAAAGTTAAAGCAATGTAACAAATGGAGAAACGATAGCATGATAAGCTTCTTTATGGTCAATAATCTGCGCGATGTAGACAAGCCTCGTACCATCACTGGCTATGTAGTTAAAAGCTGATACCGAAAGTTTTATTCTTGCTGCACTGGAACAATGCTTACTAACTAAAAATTACCAATGACATATACTGAAAAAATTCTTCAACTGAAATGCAGATCTTGTGATAAATATCCGGAGACAACTGACTGTTTGATTGCGACGCTGCAAATAATAAGCTGCAATAATTAGGCCTTCTGTTCCTCAGCTATTAACCCGGTGCTCCTTAGCCACATCTGGTCCACATCTGGTCCACATCTGGTCCACATCTGCTTCTTTCGCTCCTTTAAGTTATTTGCCATGATAGTTTTTTTTTTCTTTGTAATTTCATTTGGCCAAGTCATTTTGGTTTCTGTTTTAATCGTTTGACGTAGATGGCATCCGCTTCGTTTCTTGTTGGTATGGTTTCAGCTGTTTCTTGAAAAGTGCAACTTCTTTGTTGATGGAGTGGATTTGGTGTTTTACTATTTGTCATAATGATAATAATAATAATAATAATAATAATAATAATAATAATAATAATAATAATAAGGGATATTATTAATAATAAGGGTCATTGGTTTTTGTAAGCTATACTTCCAATCGGATTATTACACATTTTAAAGTTAGTTAAAGTTGGATTAGACCTAGACCTCCTCTTGGTACGTACAGCCTATCAACATCTGATTTGCGGCAGTGCATCCTCATCTGGGTAAGCATTTTTCTGGTCTTGGCGTCCAATATTTTAATGTCATTTCACTTCCATTTAATAATGTTGAAACTGTATGTTACTACGGGTATAGATAAGGTGTTGATAGCCTTTATTTAATTGGCCCCATTAAGTTTGCTTTCTAGTATCAAATGCAATCTTCTATAATATTCTTTACGGGTCTTTTTCTTCATAATTGAATGTTGCATTCCGTCTCCTTCATTAATTCCTAAGTATTTGTGTATACCATTTGGGTCTAGTTCCTTAATCTTGTTGTTGATATCAAGGTCTAAATCTGGAGTTTTCGTTCGTTTACCGCCTTTGGAGGTGGCTCTGACAAATTTGTCGATTCCGAACTCTATCGTTATGTCATCGCTGAATGTTTTGCCAATGGTGAGTAGTTTTTTTTTTTTTCCTGCTAGTTGTCATCCTTGGCAAAAAGTTTTAAGATCATCAATACAGAATAGTTGATTCAGTTTTCCTTTCTAATACTTGTATCAGTGGTTAGTTTTATTCAGTAGGCAGCCGAATGACGCTGAGGCAAGACAGAAGGGTGAGGGTGATAAGGAATCTCCTTGAAAGATCTCGCTTTTGATGTTAATTGGCCTCCATGTTAATGACACATTTCTATGGTTAGGGTTTAGTCCAATCTTCCAGTTTTTATGCTCTCCGTTATAATTTTGACAATTGTGGGGCATACTCTGTTTATTTTATGGATCTTCTCTATCCATGAGCATGCTACACTTTCGAACAGCTTTCTTTAGCCGATCCATGCTATTGATAAATTTCTATTATTATTATTATTATTATTATTGTCATCATCATCATCATTCGATTTCTGCTATGGACACACTACCTACCAAGTCTGCGGAAAGACCTAAGGCAGGTCGTGGTGTGTTGTTATGGCCACATTTCATGTTAATTTTTTTTTTTTTTTTTTTTTTTATCTCCGATGAAGTTGCTAGCGTTACATAGACAAAGTTCTCCTTAGTGTGTGTGCTGTACTTAATAAGACAATTTTCTGTATGTCTCTTAAGCTGGGGTTTCAGGGATTCTTTCAATGTGTTGTTTTGTTCCATTTTTATAATTCCAAGTGCACCTATTACCACTGGTATTATTCTTGTTTTCAATTTCCACATTTTTTCTATTTCAATTTCCAGGTCTTTGTATTTTGATAGTTTTTTTAAATTCCTTATTATTATTATTATTATTATTATTATTATTATTTTTTCTTTCTGGTTTTTGATAATAATAATAATATCCTTATTATTAATATTGCTATTATTGTTACTATTATTATTAATAATAATAATATCCCTTATTATTATTATTATTAGTAGTAGTAGTAGTATTATTATTATTATTATTATTATTAATATCCCCATTATTATTATTATCATTAATATCCCTAATTATTATTATTATTATCAATTATTATTATTAATAATATCCCTTATCATTATAATAATTATTATTGTTATTATTATTACTTATTATTATTGATAACAATATCCCTTATTATTATTATTATTATTATTATTAATATCTTATCTTATTATTATTAATAATTTCCCTTTATTATTATTATCATTAATATCCGTTATTATTATTATTATTATTATTATTATTATTATTAAGATCCTTTTTTATTATTATTATTTTTAAGATTATTATTATCATTATCATTGTTATCAATCATTATTATTATTATCATTATTAGCATATATTATTATCATTATAATTAATATTACTATCCCTTATTATTATTATTATTATTTTATCATTATTATTATCATTAGTTTTATTATTATTATTAAATTATTGTTATCAATTTTATCATATATTATTATTATTATTATTAATATCCCTTCTTATTTTTCATTATCATTGTAACATTTTTGTTATCATTATTACTATTATCATTTTTATTATACTTATTATCATTAGTGTTATTATTATTATTATTATTGTAGGTACCGAATTTTAAGTTACTAATATCATTCTCATAATTTACTAGTAGTAAGAGAAATGACTAACGCAAATCTATTTTCGTCATCACAACCATTTTCCACTTTTAATCAGCTGGGTGTGGACTCTCATTGTGAGCGTGGGGGAAAAATTGCATTGAAGAAAACGGCGACCTATGTTGAAGTTAGCAATATCAGGGAAGAGGGGCGTTTTCGACTTTTGTGCGGGGTGCACAAGTGAGTAGGGGTCTGGAGGTGAGAGTAAATGGAAAAGTTTCGTTGTTATGACAATTTAAATTGCATTCAATTAATGCAAAGGAATCGTCATCAAAAAGAATTAAGTGAAATTTTCGCTTAGAAAGAATTAAAAAAAAATGTGAATTTTGAAGTAAGAAAAGAATAGAGAAAAGGTCAAGGCTAATGGTTTAAAGTTATTGTTTAAATAGCAAAGGTGATTCACTGAATGGTTTGAACAATGTCAACGGGAAATTAGGGAAGGTGAAAGAGGAGAAGGATGGAAAAACAAATTTAGGGATAGAAAGAAAGAAAGAAAGAAAGAAAGAAAGAAAGAAAGAAAGAAAACATTATTTCTTTAGTAATTAAGAAATAAGACGGAAATAAAAAAAGGACAAAAGAAAGAAAGAAAAAAAGAAAGAAAACGTTATTTCTTCCGTAATTAATAAATAAAACAGAGAGAAAGACAAATGAAAAAAAGAACAAAGAATGAAACAGAAATGAAGGAAAACGTTATTAGTAATTAAGATATAAGAGGGAAAGAAAGACGAAAGAAAGAAAGAAAAAGAAAGAAATAAAAAAGAAAGAAAGTAAACATTATTTCTTCAGTAATTAATAAATAAGTGGCAAAGAAAGAAAGAAAGAAAGAAAGAAAGAAAGAAAGAAAGAAAGAAAGTAAACATCATTTCTTCAGTAATTAAGAAATAGGAGGGAAAGAAAGAAAAAAAAAAAGAAAGAAAGAAAGAAAGATAGTAAACATTATTTTTTCAGTAATTAAGAAATAAGAGGCAAAGAAAGAAAGAAAGAAGGAAGGAAAGAAAGAAAGAAAGAAGGAGAGAAAGAAAGAAAGATTGTAAACATCATTTCTTCAGTAATTAAGAAATAAGAGGCAAAGAAAGAAAGAAAGAAAGAAAGAAAGAAAGAAAGAAAGAAAGAAAGAAAGATAGTAAACATCATTTCTTCAGTAATTAAAAAATAGGAGGGAAAGAAAGATGAAAGAAAGAACGAATGAAAGGATGTAAACATTATTTCTTCAGTAATAGGAGGGAAAAAACAAAGAAGAAAAAAAGAAGGTCGAAAGAAAGAAAGAAAGAAAGAATGAAGGAAAGAAAGAAAGAATGTAAACATTATTTCTTCAGTGTTTAAGAAATAAGACGGAAAGGAAAAAAGATAATAGAAAGAAAGAAAAAGAAGCAAAAACGTTATTTCTTCGGTAATTAATAAATAAGACGGTATATAATAAAAAGACAAATGAAAGAAAGAACAAAGGATGAGAGAGAAAAATGAAAGAAAACGAAAATTCTTCAGTAATTAAGATATAAAATGCGAGAGAGAAAGACATTAAACTTAAGAAAGAAAGAAAGAGAGAGAAAAAAAAATCATTTTTCTTTAGAAATTTGAAATAAGACGGAAAGAAAGAAGAAGAAAATGAAATAAAGAAAGCTAAAATGTTTCTTCAGCAAATAAGAATTAAGACGATGAGAGAGTGAAAGAAGTCATTATTTATTCAGTAAACTAAAAAATAAAAGACGAAAGGAAAGAGAGATAAAGAAAGAAAAAACAAAGAAAGAAAACATTATTTCTAAATAAGAACTAAGACAGAAAGAAAAAAAAGACAAAAAAAAAGTTATTTCTTCAGTAATTAATATAAGACAGTAGGAAAAGAAGAAAAAAAGGAAAGACAACATTATTTCTTCAATAATTTATAATTAAAACGTAGAGGAAGAAAGCATACATTCTTTCTTCAATAATTAAAAGAGAAAACTATAAAAGAAAGAAAGAAAGAAAGAAAGAAAGAAAGAAAGAAAGAAAGAAAGAAAGAAAGAAAGAAAGAAAAAGGAAGGAAGAGAGAAATATAGAAAAAAACTGAAAATTAATGAAAAGGATTAAACGAGAGAATGAAAAAAAGAAAGAAAAAAGCGGAAGAAGGAAACTCATTATAAAAAATGAATAAGCAAAAAGGAAGAAAAAGTAAATTCGGACGTAAAAAAATGATTGAAAGCGCATGAGTAAAAATAAAAAATAAGACGACTGAAGAATTTACTTCAGCGAAAATAACGACAGCAAAAAAAAGAAAAGTATGTATAAAAAGAAAAAGAAGTAAAATATGGCAGAAGCGAAAGATAAAAAAACAACATAAGAATGAAAGAAGAAAGGACATTATACAAGATTAATGAATGAGATGAAAAAAAAAGAGAAGAAAAACAATGAAGGTGAAAAATAACTAAAAACATATTAACGAAGGCGCATGAAGAAGACTAAGTAATGTACGAATGAAAAAGGAAAGTAGACGAAAGTGAAAAAATGAAAGGAGAAAAGAAAGAAACGGAAAATAGGAGAGGAAGAAAGAATCTATAAAAGAAGCATGACTCATAGAGAAAAGAAAAGAAAGTACGAAAAAAAAAATGAGATTTTGTGAGAAAGAATGAAAGGAAGGAAAAAGAAAGAATATGTACGAGAGAAAAAAAAAAAAAAGAGTAAATTCATGGTCAAAAGTCTATAAGAAAGAAAAAAAGTACGAATGTAAAAAAATAATAATAAGTACATTGACGAAAACAAACGAAGGAATGAAAAAAAAAATATAGGAGATAAAAAAAACGAAAGAATAAAAACATGTTCGAAAGAGAAATGAAGGAAAAATAAATAAATTACGAATGTGAAAAAGAAAAGCTAGAAAAAAAAAACGGAAAACTGAATAAAAGAGAGAAAAAAAACAGTCAAAAAACGAAATGAGTAAGAAAGAAAAGAAGAAAGGAAGAAAGAAAAAAAAGGAAT